CTTTTCACGTTTATAAGACATGTTTCCTTTTTATGAATTTCTTTTTATAAAATGTGTCCATTTTTCTGTTGCACATTTGCCCTTTTCTCATTGACTTACAACAGTTCTTCATATATTCTGGAAACGAATCCTTCGTATTTACTGCACCAAAGCTTCCGTCTGTGAACATGTGATGGCTCTCGCACTCCTGAAGTCTCGCTAGTTCTCGTAACTTGTCAGCTGATTCTTGTGCAGTCATGTTGTCAGCAATTAAATGTTCATCTCTTCCTTTCCAGTATGGGGGTTTTTCTCACTCTTTTCTTATTGTGTCCACTACAATAAGACCTAAAGAAAATTTCTGAATGGTCCTGGTGAGAATACCTTGTTCTAGTCACACCCAATAGGTTTGCTTAAACACTTCATTAAGTAGCTTTATGCAGGTAACATTCACCAAGTGAAGGGCATTCTGTTGTTTTTACGCACTCATGGGATTGCAAGTCATCAAATGCATCTATTGAGATAATTTCTTCTTTAACTATAGATTTTGTGAATTAAATCAATAGGTTTTCTATAGGTTTGAACCAATATTCCATTTCTGGTAAAAGGAAGCCCTTTATAGTCATAATATATTTCCATGTTTGATTTTTACATCATGTTTATAAGTAAAAAAAAGCCTGTATATAACTTTCTAATAAGGAAAATACACACCGAAATAAAGGATTACATGTACATATTTTTGCATAGTTCAGAAAATGAAATATACAAGATATGCTTAATTTTCCTTTCTTTTTTTAATTAGAGTATTACAGATGTCCCCCATTTTTCCCCCATTGGTCCCCTCCACCTGGTTCCTACTCCACCCCAGGCCTTCCCCACACTATCGTTTGTCTGTGTCCATGGGATATGCATATCTGCATAAAAATTCTTTGGTTAATCTCTTCCCGCCCCTGCCCCCCCCACACACACACACTTTCCCTCTGACATCTGTCTGTTCCATGCTTCCAGGCCTATTTTGTTTGTCGGTTTATTTTGTTCATTAGATTCCATATATGAGTGAGATCATGTAGTACTTGTCTGTCTCTGACTGGCTTATTTTATTTAGCCTAATACACTCCAGGTCCTTCCATGCTGTCCCAAAGGGTAAGGCATCCTTCTTTCTTCAGAGAGTGGAAGGGGGAGACACATCGATTGGTTGCCTCCCGCTCATGTGCCAAGCTGGGCCAGGGGTTGAGCCTACAACCGAGGTATATGCCCTCGGAAGGAATCGAACCTGGATCTGCAGGCCAAGGCTCTAACCACTGAGCCAAACCGGCTAGGGCAGACCCTTCTTTTTTACAGCTGCTTAGTATTCCACGGTGTGAACATCCCACAGCTTTTTTATCCACTCATCTACTGGTGGGCACTTGGGCTATTTCCAGATCTTACCTATTGTAAAGTGTGCTTCTATGAACATAGGGGTGCATATATTCTTTCTGATTGATGTTTTGGGTTTCTTAGGATATATCCCATAAAAACTTGTGTGTAAACTGAATGTTTATAAAATGGCCAAATGGGGGTAAAAAAGAAAATAAAAATTTTAAAAAGACAAAAATGAACAGGTAGAATATGCTCTGACCTGTTCTTCTACTTCCTAAATTCACTGTTTGGGTTAATGCTCTCACCATCAATCCAGTCACTCCAGCAAGAACCACTCAAGTCTCCACACTCCTTCTCCTTCCCCCTTCCACACCCCGTCACTCGACAAGTCCCAAAGAGTCTACTGGCCATCCTGTCACAGGAGGCAGCTAGTTAGATATTAACCAAAGGAAGGGGGCAAACAGAACCAGACACAGACTAAGCCGATTGGCTAGGAAAGACCAGTCTCAAGGTTACTCGGGGCATCTGAGGAGGCAGGAAAGACACTTTTCAGTCACCCCAAGGAGCAACCAGCACTGTTCCGCCAGATTAACTGGGGGTGGGGTTAACAGGAAGGGAAATTCCTTTCACTGAGCATGTGCAGTAGAAGCCAAATGATGAAGCAGTACCATGGGGCATGCGCAGCAGGAGCCACAGCGGTGATCATAAAGGGGAGGGGACTAGCCTGGGAAAATCTGGGAAAGCCATCGGATAGGATGAGGGCAGGACACCCTAGAAGATCCAGGAAAGGAACTGGGTGATGGAGGGCACAGGCACGGCCCGCAGGAAAAGCCAGGACAGAGCTGGACAGTGCGAAAGAAAGCCTGCGCTTTTCCCAACTCAAGAAAACACGCGGAGGCTCAGCGGGGCGGCCACCGCTATAGCCTGCCCACTCTCTGCCTCTCCGAGGGTGCTCTCTCTTTTCACTCTAATAGATCTTGCCACTATCATTTAAAATCCTCCTGCATGTGTGTCCCCAAAATTCTTTTTCTGAGACACTGCCGAAGTATCCCATTTCCAGACTGTGCGGCAGACCTGCCCTGCCCGGCCCTCCTGCAGTTAAACAATTCTACCTCATTCCTCCACTGGGAGGCCAGGTCAGGACTTTCAGGCAGACCTGCTTCCAATCCCAACGCACATCATTGCACTGCCTGCGGTAAAATACTTTACCTTTCTGGGCCCCAATTTCCTCTTCTGTAAATAGGTATGATACTATCATGACTGAAGAGTTGTAGTAAAAATTAAATGAAATAATACACGTAAAATACCTAACACAATGCTACTAATGCAAGACCAAAAGTTAACACTACCTCAGGAAGGTCTCCTCTCCTCTCCTCCTCTGTTGGGTCCTAGGCCAAGGCCTTCCAGTCTTCAACTGGTCTGTGACAAATGTCTTCTAGTCTTTCTGCCATCTGGAAAATGCCGAAAAGCTTGCTTCCTAAATTACAAGTCTAATCAGGTAATTTACCTGTTCACATCTCTCCACTGGCTCCCAACTACCAACTAGACAAAGTTCCAACTCCTTAGCTGACTTATAAGGCTCAACTCACCTACTGGTTTTATCTCCTCCACTTATGCTTTATTCCAAATGCTTTACATTCAAGTACACTGAAATCTGTACTTTCTACTGAACGCCCCAAGCTCATTCACAGTGCTTTGCCTTTACATATGCTGTTCCTTCTTCTTGAAGGCCTTTTCTTTATTTCCTACTAAGCAAAAATTCCTATTCAACCTTTTAAGACAAAGCTCCACAGACAATAGTGCAGTGAAGGCCTGGGGAGGTGGTGGGAGCAGGGTGGAGGGGGTCAATAGGTGAGGGGAAAAAGGGACATCTGTAATACTTTCAACAATAAAGATAAATTTTTTAAAAAGACAAAGCTCAACTGGTACCTCTTTTAAAATGAAAATTAATCCCACACAGAATTACCCCATCATCAATGGTTCCACAGAGTTTTCACTGCTATTAAAATTACCTGCTTGTATATCTTTCCCCACTCACTGAGGCAAATCTGCATCTTACTCTATTCTTTCTTAGCTCCCCAGAAGCATAGATCAAGTGTGCATTCAGCGGTTTGTTTAATGACTGAAACAACAAATAAATAAAATTTCTTTTTGAAATAGGCTCTACTAAGTCTTTCAATAAAGATGGCATCTTCTGATTATGTTAACCAGACTTTCAATGTTGAGCTTTTAAAAGGAAGGGGTTTTCTCAAGTTAGCCTCTACCACCATGAAAACAATTTGACCTCATGGCAATTTTAAGGTTTCGTGGAATAATTCTAGAGCCACCCAACCTCTCTAGGAATTCCAATGAGACGCATGCTGGCCGAGGAGCCCCCTTTACACTCCTCCTCCCCAGGTCCTGGTATTCAGCCATTATTAGGAACTGGACGTATTATTTTGAAAGAATGTGTCTCCCATGACTTAGCCTTGTTCTCAACGAAGTACAAACATCCTGTTACTTTCTTTCTACAAATAAATGAGCTTGGTTTTATTGTAGTTTGCTTCTTAAGTCAGGAAACAGAGCTCACATAAATATCTCAGCAATGTTATTTGTGTAGGCTGAAATATTAAAAGAAGAAATCCTTTTACATCAGAAAACCTCCCTAAAATATACACAATTCAATTTCGTGTGAGGTGGCATGTATCACCACGAGCTAAAGGATGGCACAATAGTCACAGGAGACTTATCATCTCTGCTAGCCAAAGACAGTAACAGTGGCTCTAATTAGAAACTATGGAAAAAACACAAATGAACAGAATTACCTTAGTCTCAGAATATTTTTAAAGAACTCAACACGCACGTCACCAAAGTAACCCCTAATTTCAGAAAAACAAATTCTACTGGTTCTAAAGAACCAATATTCCTGATGATTTCTGAAAAACTATTTCTTCATTTTAAAAAATCAAACTTGGAAATTCTAGGCTGGAACCTCCTCCCACAACCACATCAAAATTAGATCTAAACTAGAGAACAACATCATTGAGAACTGCCTGAAGTCTAGCTGAACAAAAGCCTCATAACTAAGTGTATACAGAAGCCATGTGGAGATGGGCTGTCCCACAACCTTGTGTGGTGATTAAGTTGGGAGGGATATCTTGGGTGTGGAGATACCCACTGAGGAGCAAGGAGTCCCAGTCCCATACCAGGCTCCTGGGCCAGGGTTCCAGTCCCTGGAAGCAGAGGCTGTAGCTGAGGGAGATGGAGGCTGCTTGGGGTGCCGGGTGTCCCCTTAAGAGCCCATGCACGGACTTACTCAGACTCACTGGCTCTGAGCTCAGCTCTGGGGCAGCGGCTCGAAAGGCTCCAGGGACATACAGGGAGGAACTGAATTTTCCAGTAAGGGCTGGGAGGGGGCGGGGGAGGGGGGCAGCTTTCTCCCAGACAAAAGTGCTGGCAGAGGCCACTGTTCCTTTGCTGGGCCCTCCTCCCACAGAGCAGGCAGGCAGGAGTCATATCTGAGGCTCCATCAACCTGGCTCAACACCGTTCACCCACCATGGTGATTCCCTGAGACCGCCTCACCCAACTTCCAGACCCACCCAAGCCATTTCAAATAGTTTTTCCAGAAAAAAAAATTAAATTAAAATAAATAAATAACTCAAAAGTTTTTCTCACAAATAATATATTATCTTACAACAACAAAAAATGAAGCCTGCAGAGAGAGAAAGCACCACAAATTTTAACTCAAAGAGCAGAGCCTGGGATTACTTTTTAAAGTTTATTTGTCAATTTCAAAACCCCCAAGTGGAATAGAGAGCTTAGCATAGGCATGCAAAACAGGAAGCCCGGGAGGCTTCACCACGTGGAGATGGGATGAGCTCTGTAGTTCTCATAATCGTCTTCACAGAAGAAGGCAATTTCTGTTTCATTGGCTGAAAGAAAGCCAGAAATGGGAAATAATGTTAATGTAAAATTAGATTTTAAACCAGTATGGAAATCCATATTACTCTGATTTAGTGATTTAGATGCCAAAGTGAGAAAGATGAGTTATTTGTTTGGTTTCACAGTTCACTAAATCAACAAGAAGTATAAATTGGAGCTACTGTATAAGAATCTAGAATTCAAGTAATTTAAAAGCAAAAAGAAAAATAAACAAAATAATTTAAAACAATAATTAACACGAGAATCTAGTTTTCAGGAAATTATAAAGTTGCTCATTTACAGTCCTCTTAACAGTCCTAGAAAATAATAAACCTTTATTTTTTCAAATTTGCTACTCAATTACTGAAGGAGGAAAAACTCTTTTTTCCTCCAAAATTAGCCTGTAGGTATAATAATTTAATACTCAGAGGATCAGTAGAATATTTTACAGATCACTTTACATTCTCCCTCATGACCCATCAAAATATGTGTCTGAAGAAGTTAATTTTTTTGCCTGCTTATGATTAATTCATGAGGCTTCAACAATATGCAAAGTGAAAGACACAAATTGGCTTCTACCTCAACACCTTCAAATACCTCTAATTATTCACAGGGGATAAGGCACAGCTAAAGGACCCACAGAGGTTCAGAGCAGTCACAATTCTTTCAACCTAGCGGGTCAAGGACTCTGTCTTCTAAAACAATAAGTCAGCAACATTATTAATTCAGACTGGAGACAAATCTGATGGAAAGCCTTCCAATTATTAAACATGCAATTCTTTAAGGTGTTGCGCCAAGTCCCACATTCATTCTTTTAAAATTAAACCAGAAGTTAATACAGTCTGCTTAGCTTTTACAGAAAGAGCAAAGGGGCCTTCAGAATCTCGACAAGAAAACAGACAAGATTATTTGTAATGAATACTGATCAGTCAATTAACATATCCTCTAAAAACAGACAAGTAAAACTCCCCAAGCCAAGTAAACAGGAAGATAGGAGGGACGCCAAGGATTACCACTTCCTTTATGGCTCTCAGCTCCTCATTCCAATACGTCACAGAAGAAGGAAATTGAAGACTGAGCACAACATTTCATTAAAATTTTTTTTCTGGTTTTAAGGATATGAAATTTAATGTTTCTCAATTGTAAGTTACCCGTGTTCATTACAGCAAATACAGAAATGTTGAAAGAAGAAAATAAAGTGACCCATAGTCTCAGATCCTCACTCTGAGTCAGGCTGCAAACTCTCATCACAGTGAGCCTCAGGGGCGCGGGGAGGGAACAGCAGAGAGGAACTGGGAATCAGTGAGGATGGTGCATTTAGTTAACGTGCAGTTAAACCGTACCCAAAAAGCATTTAAAAGAATGGGTAAAAGGCTCCACACTTGGAATCAGTAAAATGTTGAAAAGGGGCTTCAAAAATCCAATATTCGAAGGTAAGATATCTTGAGATCTATCCTTTATATAAAAAGCTCCCAGGGCTTCCTCTTGGAAGGAAGCAAACCCAAAAGCAGGCTTACATCATTTGCAAGTGATTCTCATCATCTTCTGATAGAAAATGGGCAAAGGTGCCCTGCTCTTCACACTTGCAATGAAGACTTTATCTACCATGTGCTATTTACATACAGAACTTCACACAGTGCTCAGGTCACGCACTCAGTCACGCTAACTGTAACAGCAATATTCACGTCCCGAGGCTGACATTTACCTGCACCCCTTTAGAGAAGCTAATACATCATGCAGCTCTTCAGTACAGTAATGATAGGCTCAGAATAAGCTGATGTACAGAAAGGGCTGACAAAGCATTTTTGTTTCAACAGTAGGTTCTCTTGGGTCTAATTAACTTATAGATCAATCCATTATTCATATAAAGTATTTATGCCACCTCTCATAATACAGGCGTAAAATGAGATCACCTAAGATAAAGATTTTATTTTCAGATGAATGCATTTTTTCAGGATAACTAGGTTGACAAATCAGTTAAACCCAAATTCATCAGTTTGATAAAAATTTTCACCCTTAACAAACTGGAAAACAACACAAATTCAAAGCTGGTTACTCTGAACACTCAAAAGTAAGACATAAAATGAATTTTAAACTTTCGGAATATGGTCCTCAAACAGAAATACAATGTTTTTAAAAATCTGTAATCTGTTGAGAATGTTTGAGAAAATTATTTCAAGTGCTTATAATGCAAATTTAGTTCCCAATTAAAGTAAAAATGAATATGAAGGATTTTCAAGACCTCTACATAATCACCCTTTCCACCATCATCCCTTAAATTCTTGCTTCCCAGGTTCTATTTAAATAGCTCGGGAAGAACCCTCAGGAAGCCTGTGTGCCCCAGTCCTCTAGGGCACCTGACTGTAAATTAAAAGTGCTGCAGGCGGCAGTGAGCTCAGGCACAAGATGCCTTGGTGTGTGAATCTGAAATGAACGAGCAACCTAAATTCCAATAAATACACCACCAGTTCCTCCCTTTGTCTTACTATCAAATGACATCAAGAGTCCTCCAAATACATGTGTGGAGCATTTTAATAATGATTTTCAATTTTAATGACATGAACACAGGCCAGAACATTCAAACTTTGGCAATAAAATCAGTAATTTTATGTTTCCAAACAGATCTCACACGCACACACACACACACACACATACCCCTTTAACAGGAAAGTAATAATGATGACTTTATATAAAAGAATATAAGAAAAAACAATTTTAAATGTAAAATCTCAAGGAAAATGAAATGCAATGTACTCAAACACAAATAACATCTCAACGAACTGGCCTAGTGAGGAGGGTTCACTGCTTAGTTTCTAGTCGGAGCCTCATGCCAGTCCGGGGGAGGTGCAGCCACTGCTGTCTAAGAGAAACGGACACATGGACACTGACTTTGTGGTCCAGATAATGAATGATCAGGGCAGGCTGTAATGTGATAATAATTGCAGATTACTGGCACACACAAAAATACAGGAAGAGCTAGGTGTGGTTTCTACAGCAATTTGAGACCCAAAGGACAAAGTTCACCCTCTCTCCTGCTCCAGGAAAATATCCTATCCTTCCAAGTTTCATACAATCCTAATCCACAAATCATTCAACTGTGCTGGCAGCTGAGTTGTATTTCGCAGTTTTCACCGAAGGAGGTCAGCAACCCAGCGAAGACGGCCCAACTACTGTGCTTTTAATTTCCTAGTTGCTCCCACTGTCTGCTTCAGATGGGCTGGCAGAGAAGCGTTCAAACTACAGTGTAAAGAAAACAAGAAGTGAAAGAAATCTGACCTTTGACAAACAGGACCCATGCCTGTCATTTCCACAATGGTGGGGGGAGGGTAAAAAAAGAATCATTGTGGGAGGCTCGCTCTGGCCCCTGCTCTGGAAGCCCGAATTCCCCAGGCCCACCACCTCCTCTACCCGGTCCCAGACTACGGCTGTCACGATGCTAAGGTATAGAACAGCCACCTGGAACACAGATCGAACATGATCCTGATGAAGAGGGAGGCAAGGCGACCTACAATATTAGCCGCACTGGGAGATAACCAAAGGGTACCAGACACAAAGACGGGGTTCTGGCTGTAGGCACATGACAGAAGTGACAGGCAAAATGCAGCCACAGTACAGAGGAGTTTTGGAATTATTACAGGATCTGGCTTGACATGAACTCTTCCCCCAGGTCAGCACCATGCATGGTCCACTGTATTTGTAAAACTTTTTCAATAGTACACAACCGGCTTTAGAAGAGTTTCCCTGACACAATTTCTTTACCAAACCAGAGAGGATTCAAAAGGTGTAATAGCTGTAGAATGTAGCAAAAAGAAAGATAAAATATTACCAAAAAAACCCCCCTTACATGCAAATTTATCGCTTAGGGGAATTGGTGCATAAAACTACAATTGTTAAAAACAAGGTAAACTTCTTTAAATTGTAAGTAACAATCCTAGGTGAGGCCTTCTTCTTCTTGCCACAAAGCAAACCTTTCCACTTATGTATTTTAGCACCAGACCACAAACACAAACTTAAACTTCCCTGATGTCAGGTGGAACATACAACTGGGATCTGCAATGCAGATAAAAGACCAGAATAGGAACTGGAGAATTTCTCTGTGAGAAAAGAAATCTTCAAACAACTTTGTTCCCCTAATTTCCCCCTCACAGTCTCTTTTTCCTTTCATGAATTCTGCAGAAAAGTCATAATGATAAATTTGTTACATTGGCATTATTCCCATGGCAACTGGCTGTGATAGCAGAGTGACAGCTCCACAGCAAGATCAAGCAGAAAACGGGAGAGAGTGAGGACTTGGATTTTTTCTCTTAAACATCTTAGAAACCTAACCAGACGGGCACCGAGGGAGGAAAGTTCCCTAGGATAATCACACACTTCAAGGATCACTTTTACACTGTAGCTCCAGGGACCTCCCTGCCCTGCATAACTGTGGCCTGCTCTCCCAGCACAGCAACACTGCTCCAGGCGACAGAGAGGAGTGTGCAGAAGAGAAAATGCTCCCGGCAGTGACTGAAGTCACCCGATCAGGGCTGCGGGCTGGCCAGGGCAGGAGGGCAGTGGGAATTCTTGTCCCACCCTGAAACTAGTGAGAACTCATGAAAAGGATCTATTCTGATCAAAGGCCCATGGCCTGAAAACGAAAAAAACAAAAAAGATGGACTTGACTCTCACCTTTACAGGTGGTTCAGTACATAAGTCTGAAATTAATGACTATTAAACCAACAACTCAATAGTTTAATAAATTCAAAACATTTGCCAATTGCCTTCTCCAAAATGGCTCCTACATAAAATTAGTATTTTTGAGGACTTTGCATGCATTTCTCCAGATGCTTTCGTAGATACGCTTTTACTCATCTCTAGGACGACCCTCTGAAATAGGTTAATTACTGCTGTTTTGTTTTACAGAAATTGAAATAGAAGTTCAGAGAGGCTGAATGGCTTACAGAAGGTCACAAAGCAAGTAACAGCCTTCATTCAAATCAATTTTCTCCAACTTTAGGACTTTATTCTTTATAAGTAATAGGTGTAATTTATATGTAAACTTTAGAAAAATTTTAAATTACAGGAACAACTAGATAATATGGAAAAGAAAGAAAAAAATCTATTTTGGCAATGTCACTTTCCAGAGAAACCATTTCTGTAATTTTAGCAAATTATCTTTTCTCCATATACACATACAGACATGTAAATATGTACATTTTTAAACAATAAAGGAATCACACAATATATTCTATTTCCAGTCAATAAATAAAGCTCTACACCAGTGATTCACAAACAGGGAAGGTGAGAGAGAGCACAGCCACCTCCCTGAAAATATATCACAGCCTTGCAGGAGTCACGAAGCTGAGGAAGCATGCTCCTGTTGGCTTGGTGATAGATATGACACCACGTGAAGTCTAAGAAAGTCCTATGGGTCAAATTGACCATCAGAAAGTTACAGGTAATGGACTCCGAACAGTTCAGAAGAGTATCCACTTCCCAACATTTCCACTTTCTTCATGTCTCCTCAGCTTATCATTACCACTGGCCCAAGGTCACCCAGGCAACTGGGTGGCAGAGCAGGTTGTGAACCCAAGTACCCTGACTCCAGGCTCTAATTCCTAACCACTAGGCTAGTACACAACATACAACAGCATCTATTTTCACGTGCATTTCTCTCATGGCTAAGAAGGCTGAACTATTTTTCATATGTTAGCCATCTCTTCTATAGTAGAATTTCTTATTTATCTTTTTCATATTAATTATAGGAGCTTCTTATAAAGTCAGGCTAGTGACATTTTATTTGTCATACATGATGCAAATACGTTTTCATAGTTATTGCTTCTCCTTTAACTCTGTTTATATGTATATATATTTAATATGCTTTTATTGAGTTCAGAGAGAGGAAGGGAGAAGGAGAGGGATAACATCAATAATGAGAGAGAATCACTGATGGGCTGCCTCCTGCACGCCCCCTGCTGGGGATCAAGCCCGCAACCCGGGCATGTGCCCTGACCAGGAATCAAACCATCACCTCTTGGTTCACAGGTCAATGCTTCCCACCTTAAGGCTCTGCCTTCATGGTCGCACTTAGACAGTTCTTTTCCTCCCCAAGATTATAAAACTAGTGAGCTACATTTTGTTTTGTTTTTTTAATTTTACATTACAACACTTAATCCATCTAGAATTTATTTTGCAATAAAGACTGTGATAAAAATTTAAATTTTATTTTCCCCAAATGCTTTAGCAATGAGCCCAACATCATTTTCTGGCTAATTCATTCTTTCCCCCTTATTTGAGATGTCAAGAACTAATTAAATTGTGAAATCTTACTTTTTTAGTTTGTTTTTAGATTTTCCAGTCTTTTCCACAGACCTGTCAATTCCTATATCAACACCAGTCTGTTATATTCATTAGAGCTATGCAGGTCTAGCTGCTAGTGGCCATGTGCCTCAATAACACAGGTGCCACCTGATATAATAACATAATAGCATTTAAAGAAACAGATGCCAAAATAAAAAGTACTTTCAAATAATAGCAATCAATCTTATGTATAATAACATGGTCAATTTTATGTATTATAATATGAAAAGAAACTAATCTAGCAAATAGCGTAGACAAACACAGAAAACAAATGTAATATTTCATAACATGTTATTTAAAAATCCTATTAAAATTGGAAAATATGTTCAGAACTTACTTTAGCCACATGTATCACTCAAAAGTGAATTCTTGACATTTATGACTAAAGTAACTCAACAAAACACCTGTCAAAAAATTGTAAGGCTTCCTAACATGGACCTTACTGAGCGTGCTCCACAACCAGTGCATGTAAATAACTGCACAGTGTGACTCGTGCTGTTTCATTAGTCCCCGACACAAAGGTGTGTCAGAGGCATCATGCCTTCAACTGCTCCCAGCTCTCTTACAATCTTCACTCCTCCTGCCAGATAATCTTCAGGTGTACATATAAGTAGAATTAGAGTGACACCTAATGGCCACAGAATACGTAACAGCATGTCTTTAAATTAGAACTGCCTGCCTTTTCCAGGCTGAAAGGCTAAACTGGGCAATTTTTCAACTGCACTCCTTGGGCTGCTATTTGAGATTCCATGACTTCGTTGGTCCTGAGTGATGTGGACAACTATTGGAAACCATGCTGCATGTTCTACAAATAACATCTCGCTTTATTAATCCACATTAATTCTACCAGGTCCATTTCTCTCAAACAGTCCATTCAAATGAGGCTCAGAAGAGTAAGCAGGTTATTGAGTAATAACCTGTCAATCACTTAAAATAACTCTCAGCAGAATTCTGAGCACACCTTCTGAAAAGAACTATTTGCATTTGGAACATTTAGAGAGCAGATATCCACTGCCCTCAATGAAATGATCTGAATGTACATCATTCTCGCCTTCCTCTCTGAATAATTATCAGGCAGTGTCAAGAGCACCAAGGGTAGCATTTACTTTGCATTGAGTTATCCAAATATAACCAGCCCAGCATCACCACACAGGCTGGGACTCCTGCTAGCACTGCACACGCCCTTGCTCACCAATTCCAGCTGCTTTCAGAGTGTGGTCTTCTTTCAACAGGAGGCTGTCGTCATCTTCCAAACTCAGCACAAGCTCATTTGTCTAGAAAGAGAGAAAAGCTCCACTTTAGCAGTCCTTCTGGGCTTCATCTGTGGGAAGAGTTCTCAAAGACACAGAATTGTTACTTCAGGTCACAGCAATAACCCGTCACATTCTACTCCCATTATTGTAAAGGGAGAAGTGAACGGACAGTGAGAACCTACTAAGTGAGCACACAGTGGGAGGCACTAGGGAGACAGTGCTACAGCACAGATCTTCGGAGCTCCATTTGGTGTAAGATTCAGGCCCAGAGAGGAGAAAATGGATGGAGATGCAGTGAAGAGAAATTCTAGCAGCCATACAAAGTGCAGATTCCAAACCATAGCCCTAGACATGTGAGCACTAAGTTTTAAAGCATCTGACAATGGACACCGTTAAATTTCTATATGCAATCAAACAAAGTTACTGGAGAGAACCAGCCCTGCCATTGCCTTGAGTGTAGCCCAGTGAAACTGATTTCAGACTTCTGGCCTCCAAAACCATAAGAGAATAAATATCTTGTTTTAAACTACAGGAAAAAAAATTTAAGTTATTAATTCATAGTCCACATACATACCCTTATGCCGTTTTCTTTATAATCTGTGGTATACATTTATTTGAAAGCTGAGTGAGTTTATGTAGGGCATCTATGACCAGAGAAGGGAATGAGATGAATTCATAAGTAAATACTTCATTCAAATTGCTACGGAAAATGCCTCTGAATGAGACACTGTGCTAGGTACAGGAGCTACAAAGAAGACACGCTCCCTGGTCCTTGAGCAGTTTGTATAGCAGAGTAGGTTCATTGAGACTCAACAAAAAGGATCACTCTAGTCTGTGTGTAGAAGATGCAAACCTTTGACTGCAGCTTCATAAAAAATTACTCTAAAAAAGTAATGAAACAGAAATGTAAACCCACAACAACATATAAATAAGCAGTTCTGTTTGGGGTAGGTAAGACAATGTTGGGATTGCAGGTTTGCTCCCCAGAGCCACAGTCCTGGGCCCTTTCTTACACAGCGAGAGAGTCAAGTCAGAAAAAGCAGATTATTTTTATCTGCTTTTGGCTCCTTTCTTCCCTTACAGGATTGAAAAAATCAAAGAGATTGGTTTGCCAGATAATAAGTGGCTTCCTTTATATGTAACCTGAATTTACAAAGTTTTATACTTACGTTAAATATTTACTTGATTATGTTAAATATTTGCTTGATATATAACATGCATCCTTTTTAAAAAATGAACACAATTTAAAGGATCTACCATGAACAGGGACATGACTTGGAATTTTTTTTTTCTTTAATGGAGAAGTAAAGCTGAAGAAAGGGAATTTACAAAATAAAAAGTGCTATTATGATGAAAGTATTTTAGAAGTATATGTCTTCATTCATTTATTCACTAAGTCAACCAACACTGATTACTTGCTATGTACTAGGTACTGTACATAGGAAACGTACCTTTGATTTATGTGCCTGATGAATAATCTTTAATTTATCTGAAAGAAAAAAACAAGTTGTCTTTTTACAAAGAGTATTCTAAAACTTCATTTCAAATTACTAAAGAGACATGAGGGAGAGGTGGCTATGAAATTAAGAAATTTAAGTTCTTATCTTATGACTAGGTTCTCTTAAAAACCTACTATACAGTAAAAGAAAAATTACTTTTGCATATCATTAACATTAAAGATCACTGTAATGGCATTCATGCCATAACCTGAAGTCAGCTCAGCACATTTCCTTAGAACAGAAGACAAGTGAACTACATTACTCTATCCTGGGTTTTGAAGTTGCTAAATTAGCAAACAATATAAAAAAATTATCTTAAATTAAGACAGACATTAACAAAACAGTTCCAAAATATCTACTAATCTCTCAGGATACAGCAACAGGAGGCCAAATGATCACAGTGACAAGTCATTACCACACCAAGAACTGAAACACCATCAGAGACCACTGGTAATCTGAACAGGCTGCTAATGCACAGAGAATACCAACATCTGCCTCCTGGTTTCCAGCTATTTCACAGGCTCCCACCGTCCAACCTGCTTTAGTCAATCACTCCTTCGCTCCTTAATCTGCTTATCCTAAAGTCAGGCTACATTGTGCTTTTCCAATAAGTAATTTCTCCGCATTGGGTAAAATTCTAACTCTGCCAACAATCAGCTCTTAATTATATAATAGGCATAGCATTCCACAGGTTTAAATTCAGAAATTTTCCAATTCTTCACTCATTTTATTTAACCACTTAATTAATGCATTATGATTACATGTATGTATTATTATATCTGAATAAACTCTTAACCTTAAACTGAAATTCATTTCTATCTATCATGCTGCTTGAGTCAACGAGGGATTCCAACAATGAAATGAAATGAAAGCATCTATTTAAAAAACAGACCTTGATTTAACTATGTTCTAATAATATAAAAGGAGTACCTATCCAGTTAAGAGCTAGCACTCTGAATTACCCATTATTTTAAATAGTCAAATTTCGATTATCTATTTTAATTCTTAATGCAAGGTCAGCCTAATCCTATGTATTGTTAAGAAATAAAAAGAAATCTAATCTAAGTAAAATATGAACATTAGAAATGTAAATATGCCACAAATGCTAAAAATTAGCTTATAAAGTACACAAGAAAATAAACAAATGTGGCTTTTGGATGATCTATTATTGAGTTACCTATTACGCTCTTTTTCTCAATATAGATAAATATCAGTTTATTACTGGAGACAAGTTAGAGAACCCAATAGTGGTTTGTTGTTGTTGCTGAATAAAAAGACTTCGCTTAAAGTCTGCTACAATCAACCTGCAAAACTGGAGCTTTCACCTTACCAAATATTCATCATGTTCTGTGTATTTTGCTAATGAGCTTTTAAATTAGAAATATCCTTGCTCTAATAAGTTCTGCAACCCACAATAAAGTCACATTTTTTAGTAGAAAATAAATGGTTTGAACAGAAATTTTCAAAGATGTTTCTCTCCAACAGAAATTGGTAAGGATTGGGAAGAGAGTAAGAAAGGAGAAGTGACAAGCTAGGCCCTTTCTTTGTTAAATAATCTCTTCACTTGTTTTTACTTCTTTAAAAAAACTTCATTATTAACATAAACAATATCTGTGGGTATTGCCTCCTTAATGCAAATTCCTTTAGGAAAGTAACCTCATAAAAATAAAAATAATGTTTTAATTTGTGGAGTATTTTTTAAAAATATGTTTTTATTGATTTTTTAGAGCGAGAAGGGAGAGGGACAGAGAGATAGAAACATCAATAAGAGAGAAACATCATCAACTGGCTGCCTCCTGCACAACCTCTACTGGGGATTGGGCCCACAACCCGGGCATGTGCCCTGACCAGGAATCAAACCTGCCCTGACCGGCAATCAAACCGGTGACCTCTTGGTTCATGGGTGGACACTCAACCATTGAGCCATGCCACTGGGGCTATTTGTGGAGTATTTAGCATGTTTGCATGTGCATTGTTTAATCTCACACAGCCTTATAAAACAAATAGGATCAGCAGCCCCGCACTGCACAACTGACGTGCCTGGGCTATAAGGATTTAAAGAAAGGCAACATCTCCTGTGCTATAGGAACCCACAGTCTGGTCAAGGTAAATCATAATACGTGTAGATGCCAGTTAAACGGGAGGAATACATTTATAAATGAATGAAGGGCTCTGGGAAATCTTAGACTCTCAGTGGCCTAGCCTGACCTGGCTGAGAGAACCAATCCTTTGTCCAAGGGCACGGCAACAGCAACTAACCAAACTGAAATTCACCTCTGTGCCCTTTCCACTAGCCAACACTCAAAAGGGTTCTGTTCCCACAGGGCATGTAGCAGTGCTGGAGGACAGTGGCAGATGAGAAAATAACACTTTGGCCTTCCTTGTTGAACACAAAGCAGCAGACTGTTGACGAGCCAAACTCGGACAGAATCACCTGAAGTCTATCTAAATCCCAATACTTCTCTCGTTTCTCCACAGATGAGAGTATTCGGTTTTTCTGCCAATTCCTCTGAATTGTACAGGAATACTAGGGCGAAAGGAAGTTAATACGGTAAAATCATATAAAAGGGACATTATCTACCATGATGACTGGCAGTCAGATATTCTGATGCTTTCATTATCTAAAACTTATCTTTCAAAATAACTTACACGAAACACAAATTTGAATATACAAAAGAGGGAAGTCATATATAGTTACTCTAATGAAACGGTGTCTGCAGGCTGATTCAAGCTTCAGTTGATATTTCAAGGCGTTACACTTTGAAAGCCATGAAGGCCAGAACTGAGAAGTTCCGTATTTACTTAACCATGCTTTCTACTCCTTTCTCTTATTCAATATTTAGTATGTAAATTCTCTAAGTCTGATAAATCAAAGTACTTTCCACTCAGTGCCTTCAGCTTCTGCCTGACTACCCCTTGTGACCTCACAATTAGTTTCTGGATATTAAAATGCATACACACGGGGAAGACTGTGATTTCAAAGAATTTTAGGTCATAAGTTGCTCTACCAAATGGGAACAGAATTAAAAGCTACTCTAAAAAATGATCTAAGGTAATAAAATATTTATACTTTAAAATGTCTGCACCAATTAACAGAAATATTTATTAGGTGTCTCATAATTCTCAAGAGAAGTCTCGGTGTGGTGAGTATCACTATGCTGAAGGTTAATAACTAAGTGTACCATCTTTATAACAAACAGTGAAGCCCAGCTTACTGCCTTATTACTACACTTTAAAATTAGTTATTGCAACATAAAAATGACTATATAACATGCTCAAGTTACTGGCATTTAAAATCTTAAATCTCTTCTTTTAATTCCTGGTCTTTAATTATTTCTCCTTTTCTGATTACCCAGCAAAGAAATTAATTTTAGACATAGTTTGCCAAACATGCTATTCCTCACAAATGGGCCACTTCCCTGCATGATCACAATTTACTTTAACATCATACTACCAGAATTCCTGTATTTTTAAATAAACTTCCATATTGGTTTTTACTTACAGAGAGTAAACTCGTCTTTGAAAACCAAATTTAAATTCATATCAATGTAAAACTAATGTGATGCTCCATTAATATATGTTTTAAAAGGATAAGAAAAATTGATTACCATATTTATAATTTCTGAATGGTGGTGGCAGGCTGGTCCTTAAAGGAATATCTATAAGAAAAATATTATTTTTATTATAAAATATTCAATAGATACTCATTGTATATGCAGTCTTTTGGTTCTGTACTCCTAAACCTCCAGTCTAAGCTACTTTGAAAAAACTGATGGGACACAAAACAAAGCTGACATGCTGGCAAAGTACAAGGTCATCTAAAACAAGGGAACCACTGATAAGACGCTGAGCTGCTACTAACTGAACCAAGAATTTAGTAACACTACTAAACAAGCTGGTATTTTATTAAACACAATCTCACCTATGTACATTTGAAATATAGAGTAAACGTGTGAGACATTATTTTTTATATAGTTGATGTTCATTTAGCATGTGAATCTGGGAACCCCTTGAGAGTCTTTGGCCCATAGTGGAAACCAATGATCTAGAACAACCTTAATTCTCTTACCAAAATTCAGATAACTGGGCAAAGAAAATAAAAACAGAGCAAACATTCTTTTTTAAATGGTGTTCCAAATATCAATATTAGTGTTAATAACATCTGATGCTACAGTCCCTACAGAGGGCAATTTGGTAATATACATCAAAATAACAGGTGCATCAATCTGCTTGGAGAATTTATCATATAGACTCTGCACACTTTTCCGTGTGTGTGTGAAATGACATACATACATACATATGTACAAACTTCAGCTTGTTTAAAATAGTAAATGCTTAGAAAAATCCAAATGTATTTGGTAAATAAATTATAATATGCCCAAACAATGAAACATTTTTCAACTGTAAAACCACCAAAGAAGAGGGGAAGCTTCCTGCTAATATGATAAGATCTTCGAGATATGCTGAAAGCAAAGAAGACATAGGCCAAACATTACTTTCAGTAAGGCACCTTCAGAGTAAAAAGGAGAAAAAGAAGAATATATGTTTGCATTTGCTTATACTTTCATAGCAGGGAGCATGCTGTACTGGTCAGGTAGAGAACAGAAGTGGGAAAACTTTCCACTGTATTCCCTTTTGTATTTTAATCTTAAAACCACATGACTGTATTATCTATTCAACTTCAAAAACCCACACATCTAAATTAGGAAATGTGTTTTATTAAATACATTTGCCTTTTAGAGGTCAAACACATACTGAAATTAAAACATAACATATTCACTTCTGTTACAAGCATTTAAAGTACCTACTACCAGATATTTCAGGGACAGGGTAAATAAGAAGTTACCAAAACCAGTCCCCACTCTTGAAAGCACTTGTTCCCATGTAAATCCTATAACGGAGGTATGTTCACAGCCAGGGCTGTCTTAAGAGTGTGATCCTCACCTGCTGCACATTAGAACCACCCAGCCCAGCACTAGCAGACCTTCAGCAGGCTGGTTCCAAGCATAAATGTTTAAATATAAAATAAAAATTTCCTGAGATGATTCTGAGACAAACTGGCAGGTGGCCAGCCAGAGGACATAAGAGAGTGACGCAGGTCAAACAGAAGGTAGCAATGAGATCTGAGTGCATGCACCTGTGAATCCTGAGAAAGAAGATACCAAGAAGGGCTCCTGCTGGCTAACTGGTCTCAAATTTAAAAGCAGAGCCTAGCAGCCATTTCTAAACAGGGACCTGTCACTCAAATGCAGACCAGGCTTCAGGGAGAAGCCTGCCCTCAACTGCCTGCCTCCCACACTGACCTGCCTGCCTGCACTGTGTTCCTGCCTCTGAGCCAGCCTTATAAAGGAGCTCCTGGAGTCCTATTTCAACCAGTAGGACTGAAGCTTTCCCCATCCAATCAGAGCTGCGCAACTATATCCCCCATCAGCATCCTCACCAATCAAGCAGGGCAGCTCCATTCTGACCAGTCAGGACAGTGCCTTTTGAGCCAAACGGTGAGAATTTGGAGTCCTCATTTGCACGAGGATGAACTAATCAGGGACCGGGGTGGGAACTTCTTTCTCCATAAACCGGCTCCCCTCTGGCTAGGAGCCCATTCTCCACTGAAGACTGCATTTCCCCTGCTGGAGCAGAAACACCAGAGATGAAACAACAAAGCTGTGTCACTGGACCACAGTGCAGCAGAGCAGGCACAGTGCAGTAGACCCGTGCAGAGAAGGCGGGCACAGACAGCGCAGGGCACAGCAGAGTGGACAGGAGCAGGTGGAGCAGACAGGAGCAGACCGGGGCTGCATCTCCCCAAGGCCACCTCACAGCTGCTCCACAGCCGTGCTGGTTCATAACTGAGCTGTAGCACTGTTGAGCTGGTCCACAGCCCTGCTGTTCTCACAGCTCTGCTGTGTCACAACTGAGCTGTCTGCACTGAACAATTTCCTTCTTCACCACACCCCAAACTGGGGATTCCTGTTGGTGCTGAATTGGTGCCAAAAACCGTTGGTGAACATACCCTATTAAAGAGGGCTGCTGCCATTCAGTTCTAACTGGTTACCTAAAGATTTAAATGGAAAAGCTGAAAGTCGGGGTTAGGTGGAAATTCTCTGATTTAGAACACTACAGGCTGAAGGAGTCCTCTAGGTCCGGATTCTCCTGTCCAGCCCCCATTTGGCCGACAAGAGCAAATGCTTCGTTTTATCCTGTTTTCCATTCACTATGAAGTATGGGGCAAAGAAGTATTGATCAAACATCAAAAAGGATAATTAAATCTGTTTCATTTATTGCCATTTATATTTCATGAATGAGACAATGAAAACCCATCATTTAAAGATGTCTAAAACCGAAGAAATTGGATCACTGTGTTAATCTAGACCTCGGCGCAAGTGTCTCCTCCACGAAGGGGCCTCTCCCCTGACAGCCCTGCTAAAAGATGGGTCTCTTCTCACACTGTTTCCCCCCTAACAATTTTCACTATCATAGTTTTTCCCATTTACTCATTTTGGTCTTTCTTTCCTAATTAATCATAAAGTCCTTGAGATAAGACACTAAGGCCAGTCTTCCCCAAACCCAGCACAGTGGCTGGCATGTAACAAGTTAACAAATACAGGTTCCCTGAGGGCAGGGACCACAGCCTTTCTTCACGGTGTTGCTAATACCTAAAAGAGGACCTGCACTTTGCTCTGGAACACAGTGAAATTACTTGGCATCAGATCCTTTTGAGTCTTGCTTTTGAGCTTTGTTAGATGAGACCAAAGCAGAATTTAGTCTGGTGCTAATTTTGCCCTACTATTGCAGAAATACCTTTCTAGATGCTCCATCCAATACTTGGTTTTCCACTCTGACTGGTGTAAATAAAAACTATTCCCAGCCCTTTCTGAGCTCTGAGTATTTTGCCTCCTGCAATAGTGATGCAATTCTCCATGTGGCTTCTGGCAGTTTCCTTACACACTTGTGTTAATCATATTTAACTGATAACTTATACTCTCCAATTCATCTAAGATGCTATGAATATTCAGAGCTCACTCTGTGCAACTCTCTATTCCAGTGCTTTGCCCTGTGCATTCTCCAGGCTCCACGTGGACTCATTATTACAGCAGTCCTTTAATATTTCTTGCAATGCTTCTATTTCTACTTCTAATTACAGCAGTCCCTTTAACATTTCCTGCAATCCTGGTTTGGTGGCGATAAACTCCTTTAGCCCTTTTTTGTCTGGGAAGCTCTTTATTTCACCATCTATTTTGAATGATAGCCTTGCAGGATAGAGTAGTCTTGGTATCAGATCCTTGTTTTGCATTACCTTGAATACTTCATGCCATTCCCTTATGGCCTGTAGAGTTTCTAATGAGAAGTCAGCTGACAGCCTTATGGGAGCTCCTTTGTAGGTAACAGGTTGCTTTACTCTTGCTGCCTTTAATATTGTCTCTTTGCCTTGAATTCTTGGCATTTTAATTATGATGTGTCTCAGCATAGGCCTCTTTGGATTCTTCTTGCTTGGTATTCTCTATGCCTCCTGAACTTATGTGACTTTTTCCTTTACCAGGTTAGGGAAGTTTTCTGCCATGATTTCTTCAAACAGGTTCTCTAACCCTTGCTTACTTTCGACCTCTTCTGGCACTCCTATGATGCGAATATTGTTATGTTTCATGTTGTCCCACAGCTCCCTTAAACTGTCCTCCTGTTTTTAATTGTTTTTTCTTTTTGGATCTCTGATTGAGTGATTTTTTTCTACCCTGTCTTCTAATCCACTGATCCAATCCTCAGCTTCCTCTAATCTGCGGTTTATTCTTTCCAATGTATTCTTTATTTCTGTTATATCATTCAACTCTATATCTGATAGACTGCTTATCTCCATTTCATTTAGCTCTTTTTCTGGAGACTTCTCTTGTTCTTTCATTCGGGACTTGTTTTTTGTCTCCCCATTTTGGTTGCCTATTTGGGTTTGTGTCTATGTATTAGGTAGGCCTGCTAGGGCTCTCAGTCTTTTTGGATGGTCTCTGGGGCAGGCCAATGTCAGACACTGTTTGTGACTGGCCTTGAGTACCCTCTTTGGAGCTATTAACAACCCATAGCTTGAGGTCCCCTTGGTTGGGGCCAGGTGCCTTTGGACAGAACCAAGATGCACACCAAAGTCTGTTTTTCCAAGGCCCAGGTCCAGAAGCAGATCAGGCAAAGACTCAAAGCACTCTGAGGTCTGCCTCTGCCTGCAGGCTGATTAATCTGATTCTCTTAATGAGCTTCAGGCTGTAGAAACTCCACCAGGTAAGATAAGAGGTATTCCAGCAGGGTGGGGCAATTCCTTCCCCCTCAGACAAAAGCTCCTTGGAAGGTAAATGTCTGCCTCTGCAATATGGGGGAATGGCTTGGCACAGGAATACAGTGGGGTGCCCTCTGAGCTCTATCTCCAGAGCCCACAACCTTAGATTCTCCTCACAATGGTCCAGTCCACTCTGCCCTCCCTCTGCTGGAGCCCAAGGTGAGTGGCTGCACACAAAACTTTGTGCATTGGGTCCTTAAGAGGGTGCCTGAATTTCCAGCCATCTCTCCCTAGCAAACAAAAACCTGGCTGCTTTTCACAGCCAGATGTTGTGTGGGCACCTTTCTCAGTTCTGGTACTCTTTGCTAGGAAGCCCAGCCTGGGGATTAGGTCCCAGATTCCTCATTG